CTTTGACTCCCGGAATTCCCCAGCCAGCGTGTCTCCATCAGAAATTCTGGGATTTGGAGCCCACATATCTTAAAGTTGCTAAGGTGGAGAAACACTGAACTACACAATGCTGTACGCAGGACTTCCCTGCTGTACAAGAATTCCCTGTAAACATGGCAGGAAGAAAATTGCACCAGCCAGAATTAGACAACAGTCCACATTGCATCACTGCAAAAATGGGCTAGCTCTGGATTTAAGTGGCCCATGCCTTCTGTTTTGGGGTACCATACAAATCCCACTCATGCAGAGAAGAATTTTGGCAGGCAGGAGCCAATTTACTCCAGAGGGTTAAGGCAACCAAGCTAGAGTTCAAGTCCTGCCTTAGCCGTGAAAGCCAGCTGGATGACTTTGGGCCAAGTCCCTCTCTCTCAGCCCAACCCACCTCACAGGGCTGTTGTTGTGGGGAAAATAGGAGGGGGAAGGTGTGCTGGATATGTTTGCTGTCTGATTTGTAAAAATAATAAAAGTGGGATACAAATATAAATAAACATCATCGTGGATACAATATCCCGGAGCTATTGGCCTGTATAGCCTAAGGCAAAATCCGGGCCGCCTTGAGTTGGTGGAGCAGGGAAGAAGGCGTTTCAAAGAAAGAAACATCTGCTTTCTGTTTACTTAGTCATGGAATTCACCCAGCAATGGGTAGGATCAGCTGTCTTGATAGTCTTAATAGCCTGGAGGATTTTTTTTTTCTTCTTTTCATTTGGCACCGTCAGCTCTGTGAAATAAGAAAGGGAAACTGGGTTAAAGATCTCCAGCTTCTCCAGGGCAAGGGGTGGGGAGTAAAATGAAATGATCAGCATCTCTGGCTGTTGTAAATCTGAGCTCCGTTGCACAGCGTGGACCTTTTACTCAGTAGCAAGGAATCCTGGTCCGTGGTGGTGACAGTATAGGTAATATTGGGGCTTGTTATTTGAGGGTTTGGTCCTCGGCCTCTCTGCCCGCCCTGCCGTGCACCTGGCTGCATCTTAAGTGGGTCCTTCCGCTGGACGAACCAGTTTTGTGCAGGAGCCTCTGAGGCAATTCCTGCAGTGGTTCCATCAGGGAAGGAGGAGGGCAGGGGACAATTTATCAGCAGAGTTTTTCTGAGGATCGGTGTAAGGATTGCTCTGGGCTAGGTGTGTGCTTCTCTGCCCCCCCCACCTCTGCTGTTTGGCCCTGTTTGATCCTGGCGAGAGAGCAGGGTGGGGAGCTTCCCCTTTGAAGCCTTGAGGACAACAGGGGTGTGTTCAGGATGGGAGTGTCTTGTAACATCCTTTCTTCTATTCCCAGGATAGAGGGATAAAAATCCCCCGGCAGCTGGGAAGAGGCCCCAGTTCTTTCATCCCGGTGGAAGAGGTAAGGTGGCTTCCCAGTTTCCCTCTCCTCTCCCTTCCCCTCCCTTCCCCTCTCTCCTCCTCTCTTCTCCTCTCCCCTTCCCCTCCCTCCCTCCCTCCCTCTTCTCTCTCCTCCCTTCCCCTCTCCTCCTCTCCTCTCCCTCTCTNCTCCTCTCCCTTCCCCTCTCTCCTCCTCTCCCTTTCCTCTCCTCTCTCCCCTTCCCCTCCCTCTTTCTTTCTCTCCCCTCTCTGCCTCTCCTCCTCTCTTCTCCTCTCCCTTCCCCTATCTCCCTCTCTCCCCTCCCTTCCCCTCTCCTCTCTCTTTCCTCTCCTCTCCCCCCTTCCCCTCCCTCTTTCTTCCTCTCCCCTCCTCTCCTCAGCCTGGATGCCTGGTTAATCTCTTCTAAGGCACACCTTTGCCATGTTAACTTTGCTTGACCATGCAGAGATTGGGTGGGTGGGGTGGGTACATTTGGAGGAAAAGAGGCTTCTCCCTTGCTGAAAAGGAGAGGGCAGAAAAGGTGCTTGGCGTTCAATAAGAGCTGCAACAAAATGTTGCAGTTTATTTCATGGCAGTTCAGAGTCCAGCTATGTCCTTCTCCTGGAGACCACGAACCACTTGGAGAACGGGCATGCCTTTTGTTCTGCGGTCTCACTTGTGCATCATATGAAAGCACAGCTTGTGTAAGTGTAATTAGCAGAATAAATTCCAGTTTACGGCATGATACAAAACAGAGCATCTAGATTCAAATAATACCCTAAGCCATGATTACCTTAGTCATGGCTTATTGACACTGAAGGAGGAGATCCCTGTTAGTCTAGGGTAGCCAACATCAGAAGGAGCTTGGTAGCACCTTTTCTGACTAACAGATCTGTTAAAAGACCTCAGTGTCTTTTAAACCAGTGTAGGATTTAAATTGGAAGGAGGCAAAGGAGAGGGACCATCAGGTGAGAACTGGACTCTGTATCTCTCCGGTCCATTGCTGGGAGCACTGGTTAACAGAGTGCTGAGTAAACCCAACTAGGGTGTTGGGCCTTTAGAATTAGCTGTTGTGTCCAGTTCCTTGCCAATCTGTTTGCACTCCCTCGCTGAAGTGCTTTGGGGAGTGCCCCTCTTCCGAAGTCCCTGAGTCCAGGCCAGCAAACAGAAGCTCCCTTTAGAAAGGGAGGGTGCTTGGCCAAGGCAGAGGTTTGCTTTGTTTCCCCCCTTCTGTGAACACATGCCTAGTGCTGGGAGAAAGCTGTGGGCTGGGCATCGTTGGGAGGTGTTAATTCGCCAGTAAGCCGGGCATCTTGCAACATTGGACAGACGTGATGTTTACTTATTGCAGCAGCTAAGACCTTGGCTTCCTCATTATTTTTTGGCTCGTGTGATGAGAGAAAGGTGATAGCATTGCCCTGGGGTGTCGTCATCTCCGTATTTATCAAATGACCTTCCCTCCCTGTGTGCAAAAACAACTTATCAGAAAGCCAGCCATGACTGCCTTTCCTCCCGGCTTGCTGGCTAGTTATCCTGCTCCTCTCGCGGCTCCTTCCCTTTCCAGCTCAGAAGACTTTCTCATCCGCTGGAAAAGCTCCATCAGTTTCCCCCTCTGCCTGCAGCTGGTCCTCCCCCTCCCCGCTGGTCCAGGGCCAGCACCTCTGCCTCTTTTCCTGCTAAATTCACGGCTCTCAGCTGGAAGGGGGATCCTTGTGTTCCTGGAGAGTTTGGCAATGCGAGTTGCAGAGAGTTTGGGCTTCCAAAGGCTTCAGCAGGCAGAATTTTGCTGTAGTCAGCTGGGGTTTGGGACACCCCTGCTCCCCCCTCCCCCATTTTTGTTTTGCAGCCTGGAATTGAGCAAACAGCAGAGGGCTAGGCATTTGTGTTAGTAAAGGGGAATGTCTAACTTTTTCTTTTAATTGAATTTTTTTTTAAATCCGGCCTTTATTATTATTATTTTATAAATAACTCAATGTGGTGACTATAGCCAAATACTCCTCCTTGCACTTATTTTCCCCACCATAACAACCTTGTAAGGTAGGTTGTGCTGAGAGAGATGGACTCCCCCCCCCAAATCACCCAGCTGGCTTTTATGCCTAAGGTGGGACTAGAACTCACGGTCTCCTGGTTTCTAGCCTTTACCACTAGACCAAATTGGATCTCTCTTTTTGGGTTCTCTCTTTGTTCTTATAAGTTGTTTAAAGGGGATAGGGCAAGAGCTGGTCTCCTATCTACTTTCTAGCCAACAGGTATAAGATCAGCAAGCATTTCTGATGCCCATATTATTTTTCATGGCAGTAATGAAATAATGTCTCTTGAAATTAAGCAGGCTCGGAGGGGGCGTGTATGGCCAGAATTAGCCTTTAATCATTGTCTTTCTGCGCAAATCAACCTTGATGCTTAAAAAGACATTCCTGGGTTCAGCATGTTGAGTCTGTGTCCTTTGCACGGGGCTTCAGAGGCTTGGATATTGGAGCTTTAGAAAATAAACTAGAAGGCTGGTCTTTTGCTCTGCCCATCCCTGCCTTTAGAACAGCACTGGTAAAATGTGCCCAGTGAGGAGTGCTCCAAACAGGTGGATTTAATTTTAAATTAATTACACCCACGTTCCAATCACTTCATAGGATTACTCTTACTCTTAGGCTATTTAATAACTTTTTTCTCTCTTTTACAATAAACAACGACAGCTTAGTCATGACTTTGAAGGGGCTCTGGGCAGCTATTGACTAGACATTCATGCTTGAAAAGAACTGGATAGAGAGCATATCTTGTTTTGAAAACAGGAAGAAGGAAGAACAATTTCAGAGTCAGGCTAATCTGGAACTGTGGACCAGCATCCCGATTTTTGTAAATAGCTGAGAGGTTATGGAAAGCTGCTGCTGCTGCTGCAGATATAATCAACTTCAGATTGCAGATCTTTCCAAATAAAAACTTTCTCCTATTTCTTCTCCCCACCCCACCCGCTTCCACTAGTGTTTTATTTCTGCAACTTCAGTTTGATTGCTATTGTTAGATAATTATGAATAAGGTATGCAAATGATCCAAGAGAAATCCCTGCAGCCTGCTCTGCCTTGTATTCACTCCCAATTGAATATATTTCTTGTGGATTTATTTACTTTATTAAATTTATTTACTAGTTGGGCAAATCTCTGTTGTACCTATTCTTTGGAAGCTGGTTTAAAGTAATGGACAAGTCCCTAAAATGGACAGGTTTTCTTGACAAGATTTCAGAAGGCCTGAGTGTGTGAGACTGGCCCAAGGTCATCCAGCTAGCTTTGTGCCTAAGGCAGGACTAGAACTCACAGTCTCCCAGTTTGTACACCTAGCGCCTTAATCACGACACAAACTCTTTTCTGCCTTTCCCCCATTTGAGCTAGCAAAATTCATCCCAAGAGATCTTTGGGCAAGCAAACTATTTTCCTTTCCTGCTGCTCCAGCAAGAAATTACGATGATGTTCTATCTTGCAGGGCCTTTTTTTTACAAACTTGACCATTCTTTGTATATATTTATGTGTTTTAACAGTTTAGGTAAATGTTCTGTCCAGCTGAATTATTCTCTCCATGCCCTTCTCCTTGGGCCTTCTCCTTACTATAGATCCTACAAGAAGGAGTAGAGAGCGCCCAGCGACGTCTCTTCATAGAAGCCTTTGTTTCAACGGGCAGAGTGGATAACATTACCATGGTGATGGGACTACATCCAGAGTACCTGACAAGCTTCTGGAAGACTCAGTATCTCTTGTTGAGGATGGATGGGCCACTGCCGTATCACAAGCGCCATTACATTGCGATCATGGTGAGTGGGCGAGCACCGCGGGGACTTAGATTCAAAGCACCAGCAGGCAGGGACACACAGCTCCTTGGGAAACTGGGCAAGTGATATTCTCAGCCCAATCCTCCTTTACTCAGTGGTTATTGTGTATAGAAATTGCTGTCCATGCCACCTTTTACTCCATAAATATCAGGCATGAAGAATCAAGACCATACTTTAAGTTGCAGTTAAGATTTATTGCTCAAGGTTCAGTGCTAAATTGGCACCAGCTAAGGATCAATGGAATTCAAGAGGGGTTGAACTTGGACCATTTGTGGGAAAGTAATGACTCTAGGATGATGGTTTACTTAACTCCACCCTCCACCCCCCAGCTGTGCCTGTTCTTTTCCTACAATGAATGCCATGCCTGGTGGGGAATTCTGGGAGTTGAAGTCCACTCATCCAAGTCGCCAGGCTGGAGAAACACTGTTAGGACTAAAGTTGCAAACAGAACTTTAAAAAGACCCTCATTTTTATTCCTGCAGCTGCTGTAGGTAGCAGTAGACTGGATGGGTCAATAGTCAGTCTTGGTATAAAGTTGATTCCTATCCATCTCTCCCTTCTACAAGAAAAGCCCACAAGGGAAAGTGAAAAGTAAGAGTCCTCTACCAGCCTCTGATTTCGTGTTTGTCCTGGAATAACTGCGTTATCCTCGCAGGTTGCCCTTGGGAGTTCTTTTACAATCTTTTCCTTTTATTTCAGGCAGCTGCCAGGCATCATTGTTCCTACCTGGTTAGCTTTCACATAGGAGAGTTTCTCCAGGTAGGAGGGGACCCAGCCTGGCTGCGAGGTTTGCAGTATGCCCCACAGAAACTCAGGAACCTGAATGAAATCAACAAGATCCTAGCCCATCGGCCTTGGCTGATCACCAAGGAACACATTGAGGTGAGTGCCGAACCTGGTGGAGTTGGATCAAACCACCTTGAAGCTATTTTTGTTTCAGGTCGTTGAAAGACAGCAAACATTTCATTTTCCTATCATTTTTTAAACCAGTTTGTCCAGCATGCACAGCAGCTTCGTTCTTTCCACACTAAGCCATAAACTATGATTTACGGTCCATAAAGCCTGGATTCGTGTAATATACTAAGACAAAACCAAATAAACTGAATTATAGGGCTGCACAAGGAAGGAGGCATCTCAGTACTTGGTGTGCCTTAGATTCTGGTTGAAGCAAATCCTTTGGGGGAATTCCCTTGATCCGTTTCACTTTTGTGGATGGCTTTGTCTCTTCCCTAATGAGACAAGTAATGATATGGGGTTCTATGCTGTTCTATGGGGAAATCTGGGAGTTGAAGTCCTCAAGCCTTAAAGTTCCCAAAGTTGGACACGCCTGCTTTAGAGGAAGGCTGTTGTCTTCTCCTGGAGGCAGAGAGCTGAGAGATCTTTACATTTGTTTTTTTCCAGGTCCTGCTAAAAACTGGGGAAAACAGCTGGTCTCTAGCCGAACTCATCCAGGCCCTGGTCCTGCTGACTCACTACCACTCGCTGGCCTCCTTCGTGTTTGGCTGTGGCATCAACCTGGAGCTTGACCAGGAAGCTGGGCACATCTTCCAGCCACCGTCGCCCCGCAGCTGCGACAGTAGCCCCAGCTCGGAAGAGGGGACAAACAGTTCTAATGTAAGCCCGTTTTGGGGAGATGGATCCTCTTTTTTAAAATAAACAAATAAATGCATTTAGGGAGCTCTTAAAGGTGAAGAAAAACTGGCCCCAAAGCGGGTGGGCGGTAGTAAACACAAGAGACACAATATCTTGTGAAGTATGCAGTCCCCGTGGCTCTGCCTGGGAGGTTGGACAATACAGCCGGTCTTTGATTTACAACCATTCATTTAGTGACCTATTACCAGTCCTCAGACTTACAAAACCATTGCAGCATCCCCACGGACATCTGATTAAAATTCAGGGGCTTCGTAACTGGCATGGGTTTATGATGGGTGCAGCATACGTGGGTTGTTTGTGACCTTAAGATTGCCGTTTGTGACCTTCCCAACCAGCTTCTGACAAGCAAAGACAGTTCGCTTAATGATTGCATGATTCAGTTAACAACTGCGGTGGTTCACTTAACAACCATGGCAAAAAAAGGTCGTAAAATCGGGCACAAATCACTTAACAACTGCCTTGCTTAGCAATAGAAGTTCTAGTTCCAATTGTGGTTGTAAGTCAAGGACTACCTGCACTGCTGATTTTTCTACTACAGTCGTCGTCCTCCTCCTCCTCCCCCCACCACCACTCTCAAGAGAGAGAACATAGTGTAGTGAGGGTGTGAAATTAACGACTGGGCAGATCCAGGTTCAACTTTATTTCCACCCAAAGAATCCAGAATGATTTCAACAAACCTGTGCCCTTTTCCGCTAACAACAATCTACCAAAACAATAAATAATAAGATGCCCCACCAATGGACAGGCATCTCCTGACTTCTGCTGTCTGTGGGCTGGATTCAGCCACAAGATTCATATTCACAAAACTCACGTAGAATCCAGCAAATTATGGCTTAGCACATCATGTAAACCCCACTTAGGCTGAGTTGCAGTAAAGGGAGTCTTTCACATTAGCAAAGCCAAGATTAGCTCGGAGCCAGGTGCAAGCCAAAAGCAGGCCCAGAAACTCCGTTGTTCACTATTATCTGGTGGTTAGAGAGAAAGGGAACTGGTGGGTCTTTGCTTAGGTCAGGGGTAGGCAACCTTGGCTCTTTTCTGACTCGTGGACTTCAACTCCCAGAATTCCTGAGCCAGCATGGCTCAGCTTGGAAACCTCTCCCTTTCCCCTCAGCGTGGCTGGCTCAGGAATTCTGGGAGTTGAAGTCCACGAGTCATAAAAGAGCCAAGGTTGCCTACCCCTGGCTTAGGTGTTGGGCAAACTTGCAAGAATTTCCTGGTGAAGCAGTTCTGTGGTTTTTCAGGGGGAGGTCCAAAAGCCTATCCTCAGATTTAGAGAAGATGGGTACACTCTTGTAGAGAAGGCAAGAATATAGATTGTGGGGACCGGTTTGCTTGGTTCCCCCACTACCCATCCCCACCGGAGTTTCATCCGTGATAGAAGAGTTCAACAAATGGCTAAGGCAGAGCATAGTGAAGTAAGGCCTGTGGGTCCATCTACCGTGGATCATTCCTGAAATGACCCTCTCTGTTCTCACTTTTCTCAGAGCACTGATGCTATGGAGGATGTGGAAATGCTGATGGAGAGGATGAAACTTCTGCAGGAGAGCCAGCTTGAGGAGGAAGGTGTCACCCAGGAAGAGATGGAGACCCGCTTTGAGATGGAAAAAAGAGAGAGCCTGCTTGTGACTCCCTCAGGTGAGGCAAGGCCACCTCTGAAGAGAGGTGAGACTTCCACCCATTCAGACTTTTAGTCAAACAACCTGGTGGAGAATGGCTTGGAGATCTGGAATCTTTCAGTCTGCAAGCCTCATCCAACCCTTCAAAAATCCAACCAAACATTCTGATGTATTAGCTGTGGTGGCTCAATGGCAGTATTGGAGGCTAACTCTGCTGACTGCCAGCAGTTCGATCATGACCAGCTCAAGGTTGACTCAAACTTCCATCCTTCCGAGGTCAGCAGAATGAGGACCCAGATTGTTGGGGGCAAATTCCTGCTCTTCAAACCGCTTAGAGAGGGCTGAAAAGCAGAGGTCCCCAACCTTTTGGGCACCAGGGACTGGTTCCGTGGAGAAAGGTTTTTCCACAGACCAGAGAGTGCGTGGTTTTGTGTGCTGCCTACATCCCACGGATGGGGCTTTGCTTCTTGTGCGGACTGGATGCTGGCCTGCCGCGGCCTGGTACCGGTCCACGGCCCGGGGGTTGGGGACCCCTGCTGTAAAGCACTATGAAGCAATATATAAGTCTAAGTGCTAGTGCTAAGTGCTGTTGATGGCACCACATCATGGATTACATGTGTTTGTTATGGTTCCTTTCTCCAGTAGACATTGCTGAACACTCCCTGCCCCCCAATGTTCTGTGCTTTGTGGAGGATCCAGAGTTTGGCTACAAGGATTTCACCAGGAGAGGAGAACAGACCCCTCCCACCTTCCGAGCCCAGGTACCATGTGTGATACTTTGGATGCATGCTTATCCCCATCCCCAACAGCATGTCAAAAATCCCATGGCACACGCTAATTGAAAGGTGGATCATTTGATTTGACTTAATGTGTTCTGTAAATCCACCCTTTGGCTGTAAGTTCATAGTTTAATACTGGATATGAGCCAGGTTATAAACCATGGCTTAGCACGATAGTTTGTGCACTGACTTGTGGTTTAGCTTTGGATATGAATCCAGCTGAAGTGACTTCCTGGATGGCATTGGCTTGAAGAAGATGTCACCTTGATTGTAAAACTAACCCTGGTTTAGTGCAGATTGTAGGTCCAACCTGTATTTCACCTTCTACAGGACTATACGTGGGAAGATCATGGTTACTCGCTTATCAACCGGCTGTATCCTGATGTGGGACAACTGTTGGATGAGAAATTCCAAGTGGTTTACAATCTGACCTATAACACCATAGCTATGCACAGTGGGGTGGACACATCCATGCTCCGGAGGGCTATCTGGAATTACGTCCACTGTGTCTTTGGCATTCGGTAGGTTGCTTGAGCATCTTTTTTTTTTTTAATCCCTCCTGAAATTCTTCACATTTGCTGGATTTGGGTAAATCCAGCAAATTTGAGTCCAGATTTTTTCCTTCTGCCTTGCTTTTAGCACAAACCAATTATCAATGCGCAACTTTTTTTTCTAACTGGATGATTAATCACTGGAAAGAAGAAAACACCCAACTACAGATAGTTCTCAGCTTACACCTACAATTGAGCCCAAAATTTCTGTTGCTAAGCGAGACACTTGTTAATTGAGTTTTGCCTCATTTTACAACCTATCTTGCCACAATTGTTAAGTGAACGACTGCAGTTGTTAAGTTAGTGACACGGTTCTTAAGTGAATCTGGCTTCCCCATGGACTTTGCTTGCCAGAATGTCGCAAAAGGGGATCACATGATCCAGGGATGCTGCAACTGTCATAAACATGAGCCAGTTGTCAAGCAGCTGAGTTTTGATCACATGACCATGGGGATGCTGCAATGGTTGTGAGTGTAAAAAATGGTCATAAGTCACTTCTTTCAGTGCTGTTGTAACTTCGAACAGTCACTAAACGAACTGTTACAAGTCGAGAACTACCTGTAGTGAAGCTGCTTTGCCTGCAGTGGCAAGCCATGAGTATCTAGCAACAGGAGTCTGGATTTATTGTACAACTTCCCTTCTCTTCTCCCCTGCTCTGCATAGCTAGTTACTTTCTGGCTTTTAATCCTGCTGGTTCAGCCATCCTGGCTGAGCTATTGTTTGCCAGCCTGTACAAAGCAGGAAAGGGTTTGCTTCTAAGCAGGGAATAACTGAGCAAGCAGAGTGTACAAGAGACGGATTGAGGTTGTGAGTCCAAAGTTCAGTGTATAATTCAAAGCTGCAGCTTGGCACTGCAGGTGAACAAGTGACTGAGCATCCTTGTCCTGTCAGACTAATTGCCTGAGGAAAAACAGTTGTGTTCGGTTCTGCCAGGTGACTTTAGGATGGATGGCTGTGCAGGGACTGCAACAATCGGTGTGACTAAAGGACTGAATCATCTAATTTATGGGAGGTAGGAAGTAACACATGCTCAAAGCATGTGGGAAAACTTGTCTTCTTCTTGTGTGAACTGAGGAAGTCCTTTACAACAAGGACCGGCCAGCTTGTGGAGCTCATATAGTCTCATCCTCCATTTTTTTATAGTTTCAATATCAGCCCATTACAAAAATGTAATGAGGAATCGCTGATTCGGGGCCATGATTTTCTTCTGAAATCAAACCTTTGCTAGTTTTAATGAGTCTGTTTTTCTAGGAAGCCCTGCAGACCAAAAATTCAACCTCATCCATTCCATTGATATCTCTGCGCCACAGGCTATATAGTTCCTTAGATATCTAATTTTTCTTTTTCAATTAAAAAAAACCATGCCATTATTAGCTACAAAACCCTCCCCCAATAATACCAGACAGAAAAACCAAATCCTTCCCCCCCCCTTGGCCTTAAAGAAAGAAGGATGATGCAAATGTTGGCTTGCTGGGATTAAAGACACAGTTTCTCCTAGCCAATTCTCCTGACCACCTGCTTTGCGTGGAAAAGCTTCCAGTTCAAACTCTGGCACTGCAAAAAAAAAAAAAAATGAAAGCCTTGGCAAGACCTTCTTTATTTTTAAAATAAAACTGGCATGGGCAACCTGCAGCTCTTGAACTAGATCCCTGGATTATTTTCAGAAATCCTCTGCTAGCAATTTTTCTATGCTTCCTGTGCAAGACAATAGATAAGCAGATGGTTCAGAAAGTGCAGAGGGAAAAATGGAGGTGACAATATAGTAAATAAGTGGTATTATTACTGGTTTTGATTTGACTTTGTATCGATGCCCTGCTCTCATTTGGCCATTTCCAAGGAAGACAGTACAGGTGGTCCTTGACTTACAACAGTTCATTTAGTGACCGTTCAAAGTTACAACAGCACTGAAAAAAATGACGTATGACCGTTTTTCACATTTACGACCGTTGTAGCATTCCCATGGACACCTGATCCAAATTCAGATGCTTGGCAGCTGATTCATACGTATGACCGTTGCAGCGTCCCAAGGTCATCTGATCCCCTTTGGCGACCTGACACGCAAAGTCCATGGGGAGGCCAGATTCACTTAACAGCCGGGTTACTAACTTAACAGCTGCAGTGATTCACTTAACAACTGCAGCAAGAAAGATCGTAAAATGGGGCAAAACTCACTTAGCAATGGAAATGTTGGGCTCAGTTGTGGTCATGAGCTGAGGACTACCTGTACTGGTAGTCCTCGTTTTATGACCACAATTGGAACCAGAACTTCCATCACTAAGCAAGGCAAGTTGTTCAGCGAGCTGTGTCCAATTTTATGACGTTTTTTTGCCATGATTGTTAAATGAATCACTGCAGTTGTTAAGTGAATCGTGCGGTTATTAAGCAAATCGGGCTTTCCCAATTGAATCTGCTTGTCAGAAGCCGGCTGGGAAGGTTGCAAATGGTGGTCACGTGACTCTGGGATATTGCAACCATCAAGGAAACCTGTCCCAATTTTGATCACGTGACCGTGGGGATGCTGCAATGCTCATAAATGCTACCACCGGTCAGAAGTCCCTTTTTTCAACGCCATTATAATTTTGAATGGTCACTAAATGAATGGTTATAAGTTGAGGATTACCTGCACTCAATATCAAATGATCCCTGATCGCTGATTTAGGATTCTGCTGCCCACCTAACCTTCCCTAATATGGTGTCTACACAGAAGGCAACAAGCTGGATTTTTCTCATGCATCTTGGCCAATGATATAATGGTTTTGCCATTATAGCCATCATATCTAAAAGGTATCTGGGCTATGGGAAGTTGATCATCTCAGCTGGCTGATCAATTGTAAAGCTCATATGTCATCTCTTGTAGGTATGATGACTATGATTACAGGGAAGTGAACCAGCTTTTGGAACGTAGCCTGAAGATCTACATTAAAACTGTGGCCTGCTACCCGGAAAAAACTACTAAAAGAATGTATACCCATTTCTGGAGACACTTCAAACATTCAGAAAAGGTAAAGTGAGTTCTACTGGGTTATGGGTTGTTTGGCTTCCATGCTTGATTGACCAACATTGGTGTTGCATGTTGCATTAAGTGAGAATATGTTTTCTTTGATTTTGGCTTAGACTGGAGATGAACTCAGCCACTGTAGAATGTAATCCCAATTTATGGTTTGGCACACAATGTTTTTCAAACTTGGCAACTTTGAGTTGTGTCAAGTTCATGGCTGGCTGGGGCATTCTAGGAGTTGAATCCACACATCTTAATATTGCATTACACCATTTCTTCATAGCTATATTAAGGACATTACTGATATCATATTGATTCTTGGCAAGAAGAGTTCTTATTTATGGATAGCAAAGGATGCACAGAACAAGCCTTGATTTGGAGAAAGAAAGGAAGAGAAGGAAGGAAGATTGGATCAGGAGGGGTGTGTTTATATTTGGTGACTTTCTCCCTATCTAACCACAACAATATTCTGGATTTCTACTGGCCTGTGAGCAAAAGATCCCAATTTCTCAGAAGAGCACGATTTTCTGCTTTCACAATTTTTGGCTCTTTTGGGACAGGAAGCACATAACTGAAGTATAAGCCTAACGTACACATAAAACAGCAGAACAACAACAAAAAAACAGGCTTTAAACTTCACCTCCAAACCCAGGAAAATAAGCATCTGCACCTCACCCATTAAGTTGCATCATCAACCCAGCCCAGGGTGATCTTTGAGTTCCTCTCAGGTGTTAAGGGTGCAATCCTAAACTGCCAAAAATTTTGCTTGCCTGTGCCTTAGGGACATTTCAGAGTTGCAAAACACTAGGCTGTAATCCTGAAAAGGAAAGAAAACAAGAACCAAATAAGGGGCACACTAATAAAGAAGTGGCAATAGATCCCTTTGATATCTAAGTAGTGGATCCCTCTGTGTGGTGGATTCACCAGCTGAAGGAGAGGGGGTCCCTCTAGGGCAGGGGTTCCCAACCGGGGGTGCGAGACGATATTCCGGGGGGGGGGGCCGAAAACTTGGGTTTGAAGTTTCAAAATTATAGTGTATATGCATAATTTTTTGTGAGGGGTGTGAGAATATATCAGAAACGTTCCAGGGTGTGGGGTATAGAAAAGGTTGGGAATCGCTGCTCTAGGGGGAGTAAAGAGATATTCCAGCTTGGAGTCGATTTAGGGGAGGAAACATTGGAGGTCAAACCCTTAAGTCTATATCTGCCATTTCCCGGACAGTCTGGCAAGATTCTTGTAATATAAGTGATTAACAAAAAAGTATCTATTTGAGCCTATTCGTGGAATGATTCTGGTTGCTTGTGCCTGATATTTTGAGATCTAAGCAGTTTTCTGGGATGCCAGGTTTTTGTGCCAGGATTCATTCTCTGCTTGTTGCAACTCTCACATCGCTTTCTATCATGCCTCTCCTTGCCTTTAGGTGCATGTCAATCTGCTTCTTTTGGAGGCTCGTATGCAGGCAGCCCTATTGTATGCTCTGCGTGCCATCACCCGCTACATGACCTGACTGGACTTGACTCCCTTCTTTGTGAGTGAGGCAGCCTTGCCCTGGACCAGGGAGCTTTCTTCCAAAGACCTGTTTCTGGAATGTCTGGTGAAAAAAATCAAGTTACCTCACCTTTTACCTGTGGCTATTTTTGGAAGCATTTTATATGGGGGTGGACTTTTTGAGTCGCTCTGCCAAAAGCGACATTGTGAGGCAGACGTGAGTTCAACGTGAACTGTTCCCTTGATGTGTGAAGGAAACCAACCTCAGTTTCATCATCATCACCTGGGGAGCCACCTGTGGTTTCTTGGTTTTGCCAATGGTGGCCCAAGGTTTCAGAGTTTGATGCTGAGGTGGCCAGCTCCTGTTCAAAAATTAGAGGAGGTCACTGCATCCCATGCTGATGTCCCTTGATGACCAGCTTGGTGTGCACCAAAGTTGGAGATGGCAGCATTTTAATGAATTGTGCAATGAATATCCTCTGCCCTGTCTACATCTTTTTTTGTTTTTTTGCAATGAAGATGGTCCTGAACCAGCTGAGGCAAAGATCACCAAAGAGATCCCTCTGCCATGGACATGGCTTTACTCTTTGTCTTTGGTCTCAACTTGCTACAGAACTTTGAATGTAGGACTTTGAACATTTCAAGCGGGTAACTCCTGAAGCTCTCTTAAGGGTAGGGAGCAGAGATGTGCCCTGGGTGTGTATGTGATGATAGCAGTGGATGTGCTGAATTTAAAACAAGCTGGCCACTAGAGTAACTGGTGACTACACTACATTTCTTTTTTCTAAGCTTCAGATCCCAAGATCATTGTGTTTCAGATGTTCTCCTTGCAAATATGGAAATGTCTCAGCTGCAGAATGGATGGTGGCTTACAGATGAGGTAAAACTAGAAGAAGAATGTGGGTTTGTTGTTAGTTGGCTGGAATATTCTCTCTTCCTACTTTTCCCACTCCAAAACAAGACAGAAGACTATTGTAATGTGGGATTGATTTCCCAGATCAATAAACTAACTTCAAGTACATGAATCTCTGTTCCCAATCCCCCAGGACCTTTGCTTCTGTTCTCTTTTTTTTCTTGTCCTTTTCTAAGAAGTTCTTTTCCTGATGTAAAATTGTGTTGTTTGGCTATTAGATCCCATTATCTCCTCGTGCTCAAGTGTTTGAGCTTTGGACATTGTGAAACTCTTATCTTCTTTACAGTCTGCTCCCTGCTATTCTGAAAGCTTATATTAACGGCTGTAGAAATGGGAATGTTTCTCTCCATCTGTCAAGCCCATCTCCTTTTTAGGATGAGACAGTCATCTGCGGGCTGGAAGAGAGATTGTTGAATGTCTACGGAGATTCTCAAATCATCCAGGTCACGGTTGTCCCAAAGGTGCTTTTCAAAAAGGCAACTGGACTTTCTTGTGTTTTCCTTTTTCCTTGAAATTCAAATTCAAAGAAAAAACATAGTCCAATTGCTTTTTGAAAAAGCATCTTTGGGATCTTCACCTGATCTATTCATGCAACGGAATGAGACACTGGATTTAAGAAGTGGCCTGTATCATTTCAGATTAGAGGTGGCCAGAACTCAGTTTAAACTTCTTTTTTATCTTTTTTTTTAACTACCCTCTGTAATAAAATAATTTAGCATGAAAGAAGCTTGGCTTAGCTTCCCCCTTGTGCTCTTGTTTTATTTGCAGAGAATTTTACACCTTGTTCCTATAAGCCAGCTCAAATCACCACTGCCTTGAGCAACTGTCTCGTCCCCCTGAACTAGCAATAACTGATCACTGAGGACACGGTCAGGTGGGGAGTGGTCAGATTTTGTTTTTCCCCTATCACTGATATTTGCTGGTGATGTCCTCCCCCTTTCCATTGTAACATGTTTAAAAAGTGGCTCAATACTGCCCCAGTCCAAATAGAGTGAGCTTTATTTGTCCTCAGCCCTTTCTCCCTTAGCCTGCCCTGTTTGGAGGAGGCGAGGGGAGAAATGAAATAGACCAGGGGTCCCCAACTCCCGGTTGGGTACCAGGCTGCAGCATGCCAGCAATTGGGCTGCATAAACAAGCAAAGCCCCATCCGTGAGATGCAGGCAGCACACAAAACCACACACCCTCCGGTCTGTGGAAAACCCTCTCTCCACGGAACCAGTCCCTGGTGCCCAAAAGGTTGGGGACCTCTGAACTAGACTGGTGTTTTTCAACCTTGACAACTTTAAGATGCTGACTGTAGAATTCTGGGAATTGAAGTCCACACATCTCAACATTTGCTAAGATTGAGAAACACTACTCTAACCTTTGTCTGTTTTGTCAGCCAAATGGGAGATTGACCTTGCATCAACCCTCTTACTGTCCTCAGAACATAGCTTTGTGCTGGTTAGCCTGAGCCAAATTCCCTATATGTGATTGATTGGATTCTACTGCATCTTGAAATGCTCACCTCTCTCGTGTGGGAGGAACCATTTGGAATGCTCAATTGCAAAATTATGATCCCTCAACTACAGTACAGGAGATCATGGCTAGCTAGCATAGATCATGCAGGGGGGTTCTGTTAGGGTCAAATGGATCTTCTAAACTTCATGCTCTAATGATATTCATCAGGTTATTGGCAACTAGAAAGTAGGATGAGGAGGATTTGAAATATGGGTCTTTTCATTCCCTCCTATACCTCTCTACTTTGCCTCAAGCAATGTTATAGAGGTTCATAGTTTTATTTAACTCATTTCGGAGGCAAAGCTATGAGTTCCGCTTAAAGGGAAAGTTGCTCGTTAAGATGAAAAAAAAGATGACTGAGCTTCCTGCTACTGTATTACTCACTCTTCCTGCTCTGAGAAGGAATTAAATGTCCATCATTTCAAACGTTAGCATCTAGGAATGGGAGGGTTTAAGATATTTTTATCCTAACTCCAATGGACCCATTGGGCATGATGTCGGGAGCTGATAGGAGTTGGAATCCAGCAGCTAGAAAACTACATGTCAGTTAGATCCTGGCCCTTGGCTCCTTTTTAATTTTTTCCTCTGTATTACATTTCACTTTGGTCCGGTGTGAGAACTTTTTCTAAATCCTGGAAAAATTCAGCTCTGGCTTTTTACTCACTCTGCATGCTTATTACAAGAGATGGAAACTTCTTTAGGTATTATGGGTTGCTAACACCCATCCCCTTTAGCCCTTGTGGCTTCAAAGTTGAAGATTATAGAAGACCTAAGTCAACATCTAGAGAACCACAAGTTCCTCACCCCTTATTTCCAATTCCTTTCTTTTTTGAAATCTTGGGATTAAAATCTGAGTTTTAGACTGGTACTAAGCCCTAAAGTCATGCAATGCAAAACAAGCAACAATCTGCCCCCTCCTTTCACCCTTCTAACTATGGCTCAGCAGTAATCAGCTTCAAATAGCAACTGTGATGAAGTTGGGTTCCCAGGAAAATGTGAACCTTTCCAAGCATTTCTGCAATATACATAAGATTCTGTTTGGAGCAAACAACTCCGGTTACAAAAGCTAAATTTAACTATTGAAGGCCTGGCCAAAGGTTGCCCAGCTAGACCATACAGTTGGAGAGGGAGGTGAGCTTAGCAGCCAACACAACTTTGTGTGGTACCTCCTTGATGCAGAGTTTGTTTGGCTGCATTACTTTGTCCGTTGGCCAGATTCCTAGACTAGACACTAGACATATATCTTAGAAGTCCATGAGAGAAGTCCAAAATGTGATGGTTTACTCTCAATGCCAGAAACCGTTATTCCTGAAGCCAAGGAAATTTAGAACATGTTTTCAGGCATTTTATTTTGTTTTAAACCAAAGAAAAGAAACCCAGGATTCATTTGTGGAACCCAGCTTATAAAACAGGTTAATCAGATGCCACCCAACAAGGTTTTTCAGACTTTTTGAGAGCCAATTTGGTCTAGTGGTTAAAGCACCAAGCTAGAAAGCAGGAGACTGTGAGTTTTGGTCCCGCCTTAGCCATGAAAGCCAGCTGGATGACTTTGGGCCAGTCACTCTCTCTTGGCCCAATTCACCTCACAGGGTTGTTGTTGCAGGGGAAAAAGGAGGAGGAAGAAGTGTTGGATATGTTCATTGCCTGGAGTTATTTGTAAAAATAATAAATGGCAATTAAGTAAATAAATACATTTGGGGTACATATCGCAGGTTTCCTTTCGGGAATTCTTGTTCAGTATAGGGTCAATAATGGATTTACTAAATTCAGGGGTATCCAACTTTGGCAACTTTAAGATTTGTAGATCTGAGTCCCAGAATTCCTCAGCCAACATGGCTGGCTAGGAAATTCTGGGAATTGAACTCAAGTCTCAACTCAAACTCAAGATTGGACAGCCCTGACTTGGTATATTTTTTTGTAAACTCACAAGAACCATGGTTTAAAATTGGCAAACTTTCTGGCAGATCTTCTCGGACTTGAGACGATGGTCGAAATATTTCAAACTACTTGAAATTTCTTAGACTGAGACGAAGGTGCTTGGGGCGTTTATTATATTGTTTGGTTGAGTCTACTTCAATGTTATTTGGATACCTGTGCAATTAATGGTTGTACTCTAAAAATACCTTGGAGTCTGTGAAAAAAACCACCATTTCTGCAGGATCGTAAGGCTGAGCTATCCTCTTTTACCTTGTCACTTCAGAATGAAAAGTCTGTAACCCTGAGCATCCAACTGATACCTTCTTTTGCCTTTTCCTGATGGATGTTTGGCCCACTTGCCTTAAAATGGTACAATTGTGTGTGTGTGAGGCAGCGAGAACATAATGTCTGGAGCTTTCACCTGAGTGTGCCACTACATTTCACACTGGTGCCAGCTTCACGATCCCTGACAGACACCTCCACCATCTGGTACCCCCTTTTCCTCCAGGCCTCCTCCCAGATGGTGCCCTCTTCCTCTCCTACTTTCACCCAATAATCTACAGGTCTGGCAGCCCCCAAATCTCCAGAATTCAATCTTTGCTTCACATTAAGTTATGTTGTTTTTGTTTTTTTAATGTATTTTCTGTATCGGCGCTGTGACTCTTGATTCAAAGTGTTTGTTTTTGGAGAAATAAAGTTGC